ACTTCTTCTCTTCGCACAACTCAAAACAACCAAATAATTCAAACAACTCAAAACAACCAAAATTCCCCCTTTTTCTTTTCTAAAAAATTCAAAGAACTTAATTTCCCTTTTCTTTCTCTTCCCAAAAGTTGAATACACCAAAATTTTCCTATTCTCTTAAAAGCATCAAATTACCAAATACATTGCTTTACTTTATTTATATTTAATTGATAACTTTATTAAACAGTTAAATTAACCAAAATTTTAATTTATATATTATATTAATATTATCCATGATCTAAATTATTAATTATTCATTATTAATATTCACATTGTGCTAAGTTTATATTTCATATTTAATTTTTTAATTTTTTAAAGAATTTTAGTGTTCAAGTTACCTTCATGTTTCAAATTTTTATAATTTCCTTAAAATACATAATATCAAGTGATTTTCATATTTTTAAATTTCCTATACGAAATGAAGAAATAATTTTACCTAAGTTTAGAATGAAAAACTTTATTTTGAAAAACTATGTATTATATGATGGGTAAATACCACATTTGATCACTGAGATTACTAAATCGTGTCATGTTTAGTCACTAGAAAAATTTAATATCAATTTTGGTCACTCGAATTACTGAAACAAGTCACATGTAGTCACTCTCCCGTTAGTTTCTGTCCAACTTCATTAATAGAGTTGGACGGAAACTATCGGGAGAGTGACTAAATGTGACTTGTTTCAGTAATTCGAATGACTAAATATGACACGTTTCAGTAATTCGAGTGACCGGAGTTGGACGGAGGGTAATGGGAGAGTGACTAAATGTAACCTGTTTCAGTAATTCGAGTGACCAAAATCGGTATTAAATTTTTCTAGTGACTAAACATGACACGATTTAGTAATCTCAGTGACCAAAAATGGCATTTACCCATAATGATATAATAATTATTCAAGTGGATTAGCTGAAGTTCGGGTTGAGTCGGTCGGGTTGCGGGTTAATCGGGTTGCGGGTCGGGCGGATTACAAGTTGTTAACTTTTACACTATGTTTCCGAGAAAGGGAGGAAAATGAGGGGAGGTGAAGGAAAATTAGGAGGGGAGGGGAGATTTGGAGGTGAAGAAAATTGGAAGGAAAATGTTGTTTTATGGAGGAAAGTAGGAAGGAAAGTGTGTTTTGGGCATGGTCCATGAAACCGTACCGGAAAAGTCAGCAATAGGGTATTTTATGACAAAATCGTGGTTTAACCGTAGTTCAACCGTTAGTACCGTTGAATACCGCCTATCGATTTAGCCTCCAATACTGGTATTTTGTGGTTGAACCGTCGGTACGGTACGGTTAAATGGACCATGGTTTTGGGAAGTGTGATGAATATGTTATTATTAGTTGGGTTATAGGTATAATATGCCCCTCTGCTATGACGTTTTATCAAACATGCCCCTCTACTATTTTTTACATCAAACATGCCCCTGTACTTTGAAAAAATTATCAAACATGCACTTCTGTTAAAATTTTCATTGAAAAAATCGTCAATCATGGTTGAACCGAGATTTAGACGACCCGACATTGGCAAATGGGAGCGAAAATGTCAGTTTTGTCTCTCGTTTTATTTCTCTAGGTCTCTTAAAAGTGAAATTATTTGAATTATTTAGCTATACAAAAGAAGAAGAAAAAATCTAAAGTGAAATTATTAGGGATATTTTAGACATTTGTGCCGCCCAAACCAAAGTTCGACCTTGATTAATGGTTTTTGGATGAAAATTTAAACAAAAGGGCATGTTTGATCGTTTTTACAAAGTACAAGGGCATGTTTAATGTAACAAATAGTAAAAGGGCATGTTTGATAAAACGTCATAGTAGAGGGGCATATTATACCTATAACCCTTATTAGTTATGTACTAGTAAATAAAGACTTTGTTTATTTAAAAACCGTGATTTAACCACATCAATCATTTAAAAATAGAGACTTTATAATAATTGATCAAGGATTCTAAATCAATTAAAGATCATTCAACTTATTAAAATTTTGTTTGCTATTTTGTATTTATCAACATAGCAACTAAGAACATAAACAAATATGACATCCACTTTGAAATCGACAAATTAAACTCGAAATTTAGCTAGACCGTTAATATTGACAGGCATTAGTCTCTTTTGTCTATAACGCAACATATAATTCTAAAGTGGCTGCGACGTAACTTCCACGTCATACAACAATAAATAGAATTTAGTACTATATTAGACCACAAATCAACAAGCTTACCACTATGGTATATTTCTACCATCGTTCTACCATTATGATATATTTTTGCTATCATGGTATAATATATGATTATCAAATTATATATGGTATATTTTTACAAAATTACCGACACTATGCTACGATTTAGTAATTCTTCATTGAAATAATTATTTTTGTTTGGCTACTTCTTTGTTACTAATTAATTTTTTTAGGAAGCAGAATGAAGGCTAAAAGTCACCAGGACTAATTTGATTGCTTTCATGCTAGTAATTAAAAAGACTAACTTAATCTTATTTTGGAGATTAAGTACGGAATTATTAAAAAAAGGAGATTAAGTACAAAACAAATAAAGATTGTGAGAGAGTGGGTGAAGTTAATAATCTTGTATAATAATGAAGTTAGCAATTGAATTAATAATTAATGTTATTTTGTGTTGGAAACTTAACTATTAGGCAAATATTTAAAAATGAAGAAAAAGAAGAACATGCATGTGTGTACTTCATTCCCTCTTCTTCTCTCCAATTTGAAGGAGTGGGTTGAATAATACCAAGGGGGGTAATTTTCCTTTCTTACTCACTTTCCCTCCATAAATGAACAAGGGAAATAGGATTCAGCAGGTACTCCCAAGTGTCATCAGTCTTAATCAATCAGCTTTTATACGTGGGAGAAGCATTATAGATAATATTCTAATGGCACAAGAGATGGTCCAGAGTTACTCAAATAGGAAGTTGGCTTCTCGAAGTGCAGTTAAAATTGATTTGCAGAAGGCTTTTGACTCTGTTGATTGGCACTATTTGTTTCTGGTTATGCAAGCTATGAATTTCCCTACAACTTTCATTGAATGGATCAAGACCTGTTTAGGTACTGCTTTCTTTAGTGTTAGTTTGTTTGGGTCGCTCTTTGGACATTTTGCAGCTCAGAAAGGGGTTAGGCAGGGAGACCCAATTTCCCCTTATTTGTTTACCATTGCATCAGAGCCTCTGACAGGATTATTGAATGCTGCTGCACTGGAGGGTAGTTTACCATACCATCCTCAGTGTAAGGAGTTAAAGTTGACTCACCTCTGCTTTGCAGACGACCTCCTTATCTTTACTGAGGGGTCTGCAAATGCGCTATTGAAAGTTAAGTGTCTGTTGGACGAGTTTTATCGAATATCTGGGCTGAAGTGTAATCCACAGAAATGCGAGGTTTTCTTTGGTGGTCAGGCAATTCAATATAAGGAGAATGCTATTGGGATTACTGGGTTTAGAGAGGGTTTGCTGCCTGTCCGCTATCTGGGGGTGCCTCTAATCTCTGGAAAGTTGACGAGCAGAGAGTGTGCCATATTGGTGGATAGATTGACAAGCAGGGTTCGATCGTGGAAGGCTAGTAAGCTGTCTTATGCAGGTAGACTCCAGTTGATTTCTGCTGTGCTCTATTCGTTATGCCAATATTGGATGACAATTTTTATTCTCCCTAAGTCTGTTATTGATAATATTCAGAAGATATGTTCTGATTTTCTATGGCATGGAGAAGGATCGGGTAAAGCAAGGGTGGCTTGGGATGTGTTGGCTACTCCTAAAAAAGAAGGGGGAATGGGACTAAGGGATTTGCGAACGTGGAATGTGGCTTGTATTGCTCGCCTTCTGTGGCTGTTGCTTATGCAGGGGGGAGTTTTTGGGTTGCATGGGTAAGTAGATACAGGCTGAGAGCACGTTCTATTTGGGAGCTCAAGCCTACTATGACTGGATCATGGATATGGAAGTAATTGTTGAAGTTAAGGGGCTGGTACTAGTTCAGAATCACTTCTGATGCACAAAACCAGGTGTTCTAGGAGGGAAAGAAAATGGAAAGATTTTCAGTGCAGCGGATATGGGAGTCCATTCGAGTACATAGGCCAGTGGTTTGTTGGTGGAAGGTGATTTGGGGTAAATACACTTTGCCTCGTAACAGAGTTTTAATGTGGCTTATCATCTTGAATCGTATTGTGACTAGAGATAAGTTAAAGCAGTGGGGGAAGACAGATGTGGCCACTTGTGTGCTTTGTGAGGTGGAGGAAGAAAGTCGTTCTCATCTATTTTGCCACTGTGAGTTCACTAACTATCTGATGACTGCAGTTTTTGGTGCTCAGTGGACTAGTTGGGGGACTACTTGGGAGCAGCTTCTACAGGAGTTGACTTCACTTTCTAGAAACAGTGTAGATGGCCCTGTGCTTAGTGCTATGTGGTGTTGGGTTTGTAGTTTGGTGTGGAAGGAGCGGTGTAAACGAGTATTCGGCGAGCTTCCAAGAATATGGGAGGTTGTGTTTCTGCAGCTGCGGGAAGAGGTTTGGCCGTTGGCGCAGGGAGACTTACGTTTCAAAGATGCTATAGTACACAGTAGAGTGATAGGAAGATTGAATCTGCAGTTGTAGTTTTGTTTTTCGCTTTCTTTGTAAGATGTAAGAGTACATCTGAGTATTTTTGCGCGGCTTGATGTTCTATCAAGTGAGCTTAATGAGAAGATCTAATACCTGGAAAAAAAATGCATTGGGAATCTCACTTTTCCTCCTCAATTTTCCTTTCCCTCCTTTTCTTTCCTTAAAAAACATAGTCAATTTTGGGTACAGGTCGGGTTGATCGTGCGGGTTAGTCAGGTTGGATTCTGTTTTGACATAACAGAGACTAATTGGACCCTTTTGCATTTCTTTTGTACGTTTTATGGGCTTTCCTAGCGCAGCTTCGTAGCACCCTCTTGGGCCCTTTATTGTTAATGGGCGTTCGAATCGGCGAAGTAAGAGAACGGACCGAGTTCTTATACCTATAAAAAACCCTTTTATCTTATAAGTCGAGGATTTCCCTCAAAAACCCTAGCAGCCGAGCGTTAACCTCCCTGAACATCTCGCCCTCGAATTCTGCAGCGCAGCAGCAGCCATGGTTCTTCTTCCAAATCCTTTTCTTGTCTTTGATCTCGTTGGTCGGATTCCTGGTTGTTTTTATTGATCATTTACCCCTCCACGTCTTTTGTTTCATTGGCAGACGTTCAAGCGCAGGAACGGAGGTCGCAACAAGCACGGCCGCGGCCATGTTAAGTTCATCCGCTGCTCCAACTGCGGCAAATGCTGCCCTAAGGTAACACACTGTTCTCCTATCTTCTCCGTTGTTCTTCTTTCTTTTTTATCTGTGAGGTGTGCGATTGAACTATTAGAAGCATTGTAGATCGGGATCTAATCATATGGAATCTGTCTACTTTGGGTTTTGTGGGAATATAATTTTGAAGGATAAGGCAATCAAGAGGTTCCTTGTGAGGAACATCGTTGAGCAAGCTGCAGTCAGGGATGTTCAGGAGGCTTGCGTCTATGACGGTAGGATTCCAAAATCTTGATTAATTGCTCCTCGAGCTGTATATTTTCTTTTTTTGCTTTTCGTTTCCATGATGAAGTAATTAGTGAGTTAATTCGGTTAATTTCCGTGTTACAAAAACTCAGGGTATGTTCTCCCGAAGCTGTATGTGAAGATGCAGTACTGCGTCTCCTGTGCCATTCACTCCCGTGTTGTGAGGGTGCGATCCCGCACTGAGCGCAGGAAGCGTGACCCACCACAGCGCTTCCAGAGGCGCAAGGTAATCACTCTTGCGTTTGTGAAATCTCAAGATAGATGAGATTGTGCTACATTTGTGGATGTCCTTCATTTGAGATTTGGGTTATATCCTTTTCCTTGCTTCATTGTTAGATTTGGCACCAGATTGTCCGGCTGTTATTTTGAGAATCTCTTGTAGTATGACAGTCCAGTGACTGCATTTGTAGAATACTTTTTCTGTGGTACTGTTTATGGTGCCATATGAATTCAGTTGGTGATTAAGGTTCATCTCTAAACTGATTATTTAGATGTGTGTATATATATACTTTTTGATCAACATGTAGCTCGCTTGTAGTTGTTGGGTGATGCTTGAATAAAATTAGCAACTATGCAAGACTCCACTCCTCTTTACTGTGCATACTTAACACATTGTTGCTCTTTGCAATGGTGCAGGATGATGCTAAGCCTGGTCAAGGTGGTCCTGGTGGCCCCGTAGCTCGCCCTGCTGGTCCTCCAGTTGCTGCCCGAACTTGAAAGATGAAAGTCATGTCCCTGATTTCCTTAATGTCAGGAGTTTTTTAAGTATCGATGGATGTGTAGCTCGTTTTGTTATCGACTTTAGCCATGTTATGGATCAAACATCAAGTCCTTGAAAGTTTTGATTAATGAGGTTGCAGTTTGGTTTTGATTCCTACTACAGAATTGGATCTTTGTCCAAATATTACTCTTGGAGTTTTCTATACATCCCTTCTCTGTTTGAAGACACCACGTCCACTAGTCGTAAACCTTCAAGTGGTTGGTTCTGTTATGATCAAGAATGATTGTTGGTTAATTGGTCCTTTGGTTTACTCCTATCCTCTGTCATATGGTAGATGGGTTTACGTTCGTATAGTTTCCATCCTACAGGCATTGTCAAGTGATCTATTTCTGGGCTCATTGTTGCATCAGTTAGTTTCCTCCTAACTTCTTTTTGCTGTATTTTTTGAGGAACAGTCGTGACATACGGGCCAACCTTCAGTGCTAGGCTTGTTAAGTCATGGTTTTGCCCGTAGGGTTTGCACTTCTGCTTCTTTGATTGCTGCTTGGAGTGTGCTTATGAATACTTTACCCCAGTTCTAGCATCTCCTGTTGAATTCACCATGCAAGTTTTTTTCTCTCCTGTTAATCAGTAGATAGCTCAAATACGGGCAAACATATACAAGCAATCACAGGCTCGGTATATGATATCTTAGGGCTAGTGATTCAGTTATAAAGAATCGCACACTGACTATACCCTACCCATAGCTGATAGCACCGTGGAAAATGCAGGATCCTAACTAGACGGAACATGGGAATTAGAGGTTGTCTACTTCATGAATTTAGATGATTGATTTGGTAACCAAATTCATTCAATAATGAATTTAAAAGAAATTCGTTATTTGGTTGAACTATTTTATGAGTTCAAATCCGTGAACCATACGGATTTGTAAATCCCACATCAACATGTGGGATTCCGAACATGTCATAAATCCATGATGATATTTTTCTCGTGTACCATTGTCCTCACATGTAACTTATAATTAATCAATTAATTAAAACCAAAGAAATAATATTAATATTTAATTAATGTGCAAATATGAGTTAGATTTTTGACTAAAATACCTCATGTACCACTAAGGTATGATAATTGGGAGAGCTATACCACTTAAGTAAGAATAAGGCATCACGTGCCACTAAACTCTATTATATGTGCACCCGATATCACTTAAATTTATTGTTAAGTGCATTCCGTTAAAGTTGACAGAATATTCTTCGAATGTTCCGTTTTCTAAATTTCAGAATTGGTCCTTCATGTTACGTAGAAGCTTGGGTATGAGAGTTAGCCAAGTATGATTCAAGTTACGCAAAAGCTTACAGGTCTAGAAAAATGATATAATTGCCACAATGATGTTGTTGCCTACAATATGCCGAAAGGACCTGAAGAAAGCCCTTGTAAACCCACCCGAGCCAGTTGTTTTGAGCTCTTCAATGTGGAATACAACTTCCTTAATTTCGGAATCAGTCACTAGAGAAATCAATCTCATATTCATATCATTAGAAACCAACAGCTCCACTGGCAACATATGAACTCTATTAGAAACACTTTTAGCAAAACCATCATTTGTAGCAGTTGTAGTAAATAGCGTCTTGTAATAATCAATTGTAACCTGCTGCATTTCCCCTTCAAAAGTGACCTAAGAACCAAATGGAGTGTACAGCCCATTCAGTCTATTTCGGCATCGACGAACTTTAGTGACAGTATGGAAATAGTGTGAGTTACTATCTCCTTGTTGTAGCCATGTAATCCTCGTTCGTTGACTCACCACGGATACACCGTGAATTAATCCCGACTAGAGCCCAAGTTTTAAAATTCTAATCGGGTGCAGCATAGAGCAAGTATGTTTTAATTGTCAAACCCGGGCCGGTTCATGTACCCCTACTTCAATCGCTTAGGTTGATATCTAGCAAACGTTTTTTGGTTTAAAACTAAGACAACTACAAATGAAAACAAGCAAGTAAAGTAAATCGAGGGGAATTCTATATGAGAGGACCTCACCCGGGTATTGCTCCCCCTAGTCTCGTGCTAAGAATCAATGAACGAAACTCTAGTGTGAAGGATATGTTTATACACCGCGAGGCGGATGCAACAATCTATATGAGCCCTCCTAGTCGATCAATCAAGGATTGCTACAATAAGATAGCGAACCTAACTCTCTTAACCACTTGGCTAAGGATTGCAACAATAAGCTAGGAGGCCTAGCTCTCTTAATCAAACAAACCGAGGAACTCCTAACTCTCTTAGTTGACCAATTAAGGATTGTTGCGTTAAGTTAGTAGACTAACTCTCTTAACCTTTTGGCTAAGGATGACAACAATAGGCTAGACGATCTAGCCCTCTTAACTAATCAACTACGGGTTGCAAGACCCAACCCTCAGAAGTTAATCCTGATGGCGGAGAGTGACCAACCATGATGGGATCATGGTACTACTCCGATACTTGAGGATTTGACCCTATATTAACCCAAAAAGGGTTACCCAAGTGGCTAGGAGATCAAGCTCCCTATTGGCCAAAGGGGGATTTCCACCTTCTAGGTTAATTTGACCCAATAATGAGATAAAGCAAGCAACACCCAATCATTCATGATTAATACCTCAAATATTATATAAAACACACAATCAACACAATAGAATCAAGTTCTTACATCCTAACACACATCTAGACTAGGATTCACAATACCCAAGTGAGTAGGAAGGCTAATCCATAGCTAGGCAAAGGAAAACAACAAAAAGGAGAGAAAAAACCATGGAGAGATGAAAATCTTCCTTCCTTCTTGCTTCAATCTCCCTTGAGAAGAAGAGTTCTTCAATCCTCTAGCTTGAATTGAGCCCAATCTCCTTCTTCCTCTTTCGAATGAACCTTTCTCTCTCTAGAATGGGAAGAGGAAACCCTAATCTGTCACTAGAAACCCCCTTTATTCTGAAAACTAAAACCCTAAAAAAGGCTCCCCTACTTCCTCTTTTCAGCTCTCTATTTATACCCAGTCGCACCCAGTTTTCGGCCATGAACATCAGGTCGGGATCGTGAACATAGATCAAAATGCGAAGCTTCACTTATGGAGTTCACGGTCCATGGCTCCAGTTCACGGTCTTACGACCGTGAAATGCCTCGGCGTCGGTAACCTCTAAAACTCCTCTGGACGCATCTGCGATTAAAGGTTTGTGGTTCCAGTTCACAGTCCTGGCGACCGTGAACTCACTGCTTGGACCGTGAACTGCGGCTGCTTTCCTGGGGGCCCGCGCTTCACGTTCACGGGGCAATTGTCACGGTGACTTTATACTTTTCTTCGGTTTCTGTGCTTTTTGACCTCCAATCGTCCCAAAACTCGTCCTCGACTCTTCCACACGTGCTAGGAGTTGAAATGTATCAAAACAAGCACAACCTAGCGTGATATATGTCGAGGGACGATGAAATGCAAAGCCAAACTATCAAGAAATGTGGGGTAAAACCTTCCACACATGCTAGGACCTGAAATGTATCAAAACAAGCACAACCTAACGTGAAATATGTCGAGGGACGATGAAATACAAAGCCAAACTATCAAGAAACGAGGGGTAAAATGCACAATTAGACCGAATCAATCATTGCTTCCAATAAAGCTCCTCTACTCGCCAAACTACTGCAAGTTCGGATTCAACATGAGCCAACTCGGCCCAGTCAACCGGATAATTATTTCGGACCAGTGAAGACTTTGCTTTCAATTTCTTTATGTGACGTGCTGAATGCTGAATTGGTAGTCCCCTGTTTAGCCCATTGAAACAGCCAATGTTTAGCCAATTTCATCCAAGTCCATAACTGAAAGCAAGGCGAATCTTGAGTTGGAATCGACCACACATTGGAAACAATATTCGATGCCTCCCCATTATTACCCCACTTGGCATCGAACATGAAAACCGATATATGTGGCGGACGATCTGAACTCCAACGGTAAAGAATCGCCCTATGATCGCTTCCTTGATCCGAAAGATGCTCAACTTTCCCATTCAGCCATTTTTCAACCCATTTTTCGGAGAATATAAATATGTCCAACCTGCTGTATATGATCGTTTGATTAGAATGTCGATTGCACCATGTGAACCGAGCTCCAGTATAACCTAGATCCATCAATCCTAGATCATCGACAAACTTCCAAAATGGCAAGGATATGTTCGGGCCAAACTCACAGCCACCTAACTTTTCACCTGAGCTTATCATTATAGTCTTCAACAACCATAAAAGGTACTGCTATCAAAGAACAATACCGAGAAAGATACAAAAATTGCTATCGGCGAACAACATCATCACAACTCAAATACACAAAAACCATAACATAGCATTCACCATTAACACATAGCTGCAACGAAATGAAAAACGACTCGGAACACAAATACAAGACTGACACATCAGTAGTCCAAGTGACTCTGGAACGGTGTTTCCAGTAGAGTTATTCCGCAACCTGTAAGGATCGGGTTGGAATGATCTGCCTATTAGAATAGAAGATACACAGTTGAGAATAGGATTTTGTAGATGAAACGTGATTTGTTCCATTGCATTCTGTTTCTGTTTATACAGCTTTACAGGAGAGTTGTTGAGAAAGTAAGGGAGAATATACAGGGAGGTGGAGTAGTGTATCCGACTAAATGGGACTAAGTGGAAAATAATAAATAAAAGAATTATCATTCTTTTGTTCCAATACGCCCCCGCAAGATGGAGGAGGTATCAACGACTCCAATCTTGGAGCGCAGAAGAGTAAACCGAGTAGCCGGTAGTGGCTTGGTGAGTGTATCGGCTAGTTGATGAGAAGTCGGAATGTAGGAGACTTTGAGCCGGCCATCCTGGACAAGTTGACGAACGAAGTGGTAGTCAAGGGCCAAATGCTTCATGCGGGAGTGGAATATCGGATTTGAGCTGAAACATGTGGCCCCAAGATTATCAGAAAACAACGTCGGCGAAGAAGATAGCGGTTGATGGAGCTCTTTGAGTAAGTTCTGTAGCCACTCTAACTCAGCAGTATCATGAGCTATCGCCCGATATTCTGCCTCAGTGCTGGAACGGGCGACAGTACGTTGTTTTGGGAGCGCCAGGAGACGAGCGTAGAGCCCAAGTAAACAAGATAGGCAGAGGTCGAGGTCCGATCATCCATATTCCCAGCCCAGTCCGAGTCGGCAAATGCAGTGAGGCGAAGAGGCATA